CGAAAGAATAGCCCTGTGCCAGGAGTTGAGAAGCAGGAGCTGGCGGGGGGCCCCTGCCAGGTGGGGACCTGCTGTGCCAGCTCCATTACCCCATGAGGGTCCTGCTCCCACGCCTTGGTGGTATCATTTATAGGCTTGGAGGCTTCGCCAGCAGCGGGATGGTCGTGCCCACAGCAGAGATGTGAGTCCAGTGGCTCAGCTCCTGCCAGGGTGTGGCTGGGGGTCTCCACTGCTGCCTTAGCATGAGAAACACCCTTGGGTGTAGAGTCTCTTGGAGAAGCTGTGGCTCCTTAGTCTTCACCGTCAAGATCAGGTTGTTTGTGTTGGTGTCTTGGGTATGCTTGGAGGCAGCAACAAAGACATTTCTTGGTCTGGTGGCCATGGGAGAGCTTAGGTGGTGTTGGTTTAGGCTGGTGTGGTGCATAACAAAGAGGTGGTTGTCTTAAAGGGAAGGGAAGAAGCAGCAAAGATCAGGCATCAGGCAGCTTCTCTGCTTCCCAAAGGGCTTGGGTAAGCGATGAGACCTGGTCTCCAGCACAGGGAAGCAGGGGCAGGAGCCAGGAATTTCTTCATTTAATGGAGTTACAGCGTTCGTGTAATTTAGGGATTTAAACTCCTTGTGTCTACGCTGACCGCTCCACACGATGACCTCCTGGTGCCTTCAGCAGAGCGGAAAAAAAAGATGGGAAAGCACAGTGGACTAAGGCGAGGAACCACTGCTTATGGAGGGATACGAAAAAAAATTGACGCCCCAAAGGAATGGGAAAAGGGACTGCTGAGGCAAGGCAACTACATCCTGGCACTGGAGAAGTTGGGAAGTGCCAAAAGTCACACCGACATGGACCTCATGAAGAATGGTCAGGGGGACAGTGAGCGTTTCCCCACCTCTGCAGACACGGTGAAGTGACGGCTGGGGAGATTTGGGCATGGATGGATATTTCACCCCAGCTTTCGGTCAACACCAAGACAGAGGCAACAAAAAGGTCTGGATAGTGGGAATGAGGACATGGCCACGAGCACAGCCAACGTGGAAGCCAAGCGCCCAAGACCATTGTGCCCATCAACCTGGCGCTCAGGATGGCTTTACTCTCCCCCATGCTTGGAGGGAGCTGGCACATGAAATGGCAGGTCTGGTAACAAGTATTTTTAACAACTCCATCGAGTTGGGGGAGGCACCATCTGACTGGAGAATAGCGAATGCGATGCCTATATTTAAAAGCGGGGGGAGGAGGGAGGGGGAAAAAGTAAGACAGGCAAGAATAGGACTGTAAGCCTGACCTCAATTGCATGCCATTTCAGAACAGATTTGGAAGGCGAAAGAGGAAAATGAATCATGGGTTTGCCAAACGTAGGTCACGCCAGGCTAACCTGGCATCAGAGACCTGGAAACGTGTAGAGCTGCTCTTTGTAGTAAAGCTTTTGCTATGGCAAAGTGTTAATGAAGAGGGGAAGGAGAAGAGGAGCTCTGTGAGGCTGGTGGGGAAGCGAGCAGCGCCGGGGTGGTGCTGGGTGATGTTGAGGGGATGTAAGGCTGGCGGTGACCGGCCAGGCTCCTCGGGGATGAGGCACGGGCTTTCCTGTTTCCAGCTTATGGCACTGGCTGTCTTCCCGGAGCTGGGGGGATGGAGGCTTTCACCCCGGGCTGGAGGAGTTTGAGGGCTGGAGGAAGAGATGTGGGATGCAGTGAGAAATGGAAATCCATGTGCTTATTGAAGAATAGCAAAGATATCTTCTAGGATATGATCTATGCTGTTTGGGAAGTAGCAGTGTGGAGGAGGAGGGGATAAGCTGGTGAATGCAGGGTGAGCACAGGACAGCTCGGAAAGCAGGGAGGTTTGCAGGCAGAATGGCAAATTCTAGGTAACGTCATGGAGTGATGGAGTGGGACCCATCAGGATCACTCGCTCGGGTCTCCTGCATCCAAGGAAGATGAAATGAGCCTGGACTACAGCAGGGAAGGGTCTACTAGATAAAATAGGGAGGGACAGCCAGTCATACAAGAGACAACTGGAGGAACCTGGCTTTGGCTAGCAAAGCAGAGGCTGGGGATGGCCATGACAACTATCTATAAATACATCGGGATGGGAAACACTATTTCAGCCAAAGGCCAATGCTGGTAAAAGAACAGAGGGATATATAAAATGACCACAAATAAATTTTGTCTGAAAATTAGAGCAGCCAGTAGATTGAGGAGTCTTCCAGTGGGAATAGTGAGTTTTTAGGGTAGAGTTGACAAAAGTCTAGGGGAGATTGCGTGACACAAGGGGGTCTGGAATCAGCTACTCTGTGAGACCCTAGCACTCTGCATCCTCCCCCAGGCAAACCCAGCCAGGCGTGGTGGTTTATTTGGTTTCCTGGGCAGTCGTGCTTCAGCTTTGGGAGTGGAGAGATGAGAATACATCCACTCGTGTGTATATGCACACATGTGCACGCATGCATGCTGTACTGCACGCTGGTGTCCTGCTGCACTGGGTATTTTGTGGTCTTGCTCTCTGCCGTGGGCTAGAGAAGCAGTGGAAGATGCAGAGCCTGTGAAATGCCAGGCCCCTTGTGTTTCCCAAACAAGTCCCCTGGTCCCCCTGACTGGGCCCTCTGCAGTCTCGGTGCTGCAAAGGTACTGGAGGAACTCTTCCAGCTCCTTGGGGAATAAAAGGGTAAATTTGGGCAGCTGGAGCATCTAAGCAGGTACCAGATGATAGGCTGGAGCCACCGTAGCCTGGCTGGGCATCACAAGCTCTTGGTTTTTTTAGGGAACGTTGGGACGTGCCCTTGGAAATTTTGTCTGGATGGTCCTGGGAAAGCTGGCACCAGACCCATGTGGCTGCTGGGGGCAGGACTGTTCCTGGGTCTGCTGACATCATCCTGGGTGGCTGGGATCATTCCTGAGCTTGCTGTGGTCAATGGTTTGCCCTTGGGTATGTGGGGTCCGTGGCCACAGCTCCCCATCCTCCCCCGCCCCAGCAGTGCTGCTCCTGGAGACACTGGCTACGAGAGGTGCCGGACACGTAACCGCGGAACCCCTTAAAATCTCTGTAATCCCCTCTGCCTCCACTCCCGTGGGAGCTGGGTACACAAATGCACACAGAGGTGGAGATCGCAGACAGCCCTGCTTCTGCTTTCCCAGTAGTGGGTCCCTGGTGCCACCAGCTTTGGCCACATCCACAAACTGCAGCAGGAGGAGGTAGTCTGGGTGTTGCTGCTGGTGTCGCTGGCTGATAACCCTGGTGAAACTGCCCTCTGCTCCATCATTTTATCTGCCTCCCGCTCCATCTCCTGCTGTGTGTTGCTGGAAGGGAGAAGGCCAAGGGAGGGGTGGTGATGGCCCAGTCCTGGGGGAAGAACTCTTCTTCACCTGTAGGAAAGGAGCTTATCTGTTTTGCATCCTCTGTGCCGAGGACCTTGGGGAAAGCCTGTGGTTTTTGGGCAGGAGACAGTTTCAAAGGTGAGCGATCCTGGCACGGGTGGGAGGTACTCAATGGCATCTTGGTGGGGGAGATGGAGCCCAGCCAAGCTCGGGCAGAGGGGTTGCGTGATGCCTTGAAGACTAATGCCATGGCAAATGGAGCTGTTAGAGCAGAACATGGTGGCCTGGGTGTCTCTAGAGGGCGGTGATCAATGTTGGCTCTATGGGATTCCCATGCACCATTCCCAACTCCCTAAACTTTCTTCTCCCACGGCCCTGAGGAAAGGGGCTGGTGGTGGACTGGGGCTCTTGAAAGGTGCAGGACCTTGAGAAGATGAGTGTGATTTCTCCGGTGTCAAAGGAGGAGGGCGGTGAGTCTTTCCAGCTGCTTTCCCCAACCTCAAAGTCCTCATTGCTGCTGTGTGCCAGGTGCTCCTCGGCACTGGGATCTGTGCACAGCATCCCCTGCTCGGTGCTGTGGTCGGTGTCTGAAGTGGGATGTGCTGGCATTGCTCTTCCTCCCTTGGGCTCAGTGTCAGGGTGGTGATGACACCTTGATCACTGGAGGAAGACTCCAGCGTGATGGCTTTCTCCCCCCCAGAGATGTGCTTTCTCCCCTCGCAGAGCCTCGTCTCGGCTCCTGCACTGGCCGACTGGGAGACGTGGTGCCAATGACTCAGACGAAGATGAGGGCTTAATTAGCACGGGGAGAGGGGGGAAGAGAAAGAAAAGAGAAAGAGCCTTTCATTGCAACAAGATTGATACCACCTCCCCCAGACAGTCACGTTCTGCTGCATCACCCTCCAGCCCGGCGTCATGTGTGCCGTGCCTGACACTGGAGGACAAATGGGGCCCGGGAAGCGGCTGCGAGGTACAGAGGGGCACTGCTTCATTAAAAGCCTCGGTGAAGAGATGTCTGGAGGTACTGAGGAGGGCTTGCCAGCAGCCTTTTTAGCTGTTGGGATTCGCCCTATGGTTAGAGCTCCCCTCCGCTCTCAGCTCCTTGGGTTTGGGGTAACACAGTTGAGGCGAGATGGTGGCTGGAGGTGTTAGCAATGATGCTGTCAGGAAAATACCCATGTGAAGGTGTGGGGCTTGTCCACACCAGCCCCTTTCGCCCTGTGCATAGAAAGACAAGCATCGGCTGCCTGTTCTTTAGTCGCCAGCTTTTCTGACCCTAAGGCAGCTTATAAATCTTTCCCTCTTAACCGCTGCCGTTGTTGGGAGGCTGTTTTTCCGTGTCTCGGTGGGATGCACAGGGGAGCACCGACTCAAGCTGTCAGGGGAGGCACGCTAAGGGTGGTCCCCATGCCTTCAGCACCCCGATTTCAGGCTGCAGGGCCCTGCACCTCTGACTACACCACTGCCTTACAGACCCTGCATCCCTGCAGGGATGGTTGGAGGAGGCAGAGGAGAGCGGTCCTGCCCAGTGAGGGCTGGAGGCTGTGGAGGAGAGCGTGGCTGGGGCAGGATGCTGAGGGGCATTGGTCAGCCTGGAGGGACAATCACCACCGTTCCTGAGCTAACGCACCCTCCCTCTGCCCCGGGTGCTGGTGTTGAACATAACGTCACACGTGTTTTTTCTTTTCACCTCCAGACCAATGATGCCTTAGGAGCCACCTGGAACTGGCTGTACTTCATCCCCCTCATCATCATTGGATCCTTCTTTGTCCTCAACCTTGTCCTGGGAGTGCTTTCGGGGTAAGCGAGATGCCATCCTTCCCCTCCCCTCCGGGCCATGCCTGTCTCATGGCTCTGAGCCCCAAGGTTGGACCCGGGTACTGTTGTGTCCCCCAGGACCCCAAGAGCTGGTTCCCCCCATCCCCTCCACGCCTGCCCACCCCACATTGAGAGACCATTCTCTGGCTCTGCTTTGCTCTTCAGTCCCCAGGGAGCTGGGAAAGGGGCAGCCTTGATGACGCTTTCTCATTGTTTCACCTTGCTGAAGAGCTTGTGGTTTTGGTGACCTGCGAGAAGTGGTCGGTGTCGATCTTCTGGCTGCTTGGGACCTGCTGGAGGGGAGAGACATGGAGGGGGCTTCTGGAAATGTGCTTGAGTCCCAGGCTTATGGAAATGTGCTTGAGTCCAGGATGTGTTTGTAGCAGGGTGTGCGTTTGCTGGTGATGAAGTGTGGGGGGCATGGGTTGGGATGGGTTTGGGGCACACCTTTGGAGCTATGAAGGGCACCTCCATGCTGTGCGGGCCATGGCTGGGAGGATGTGCCTGGTGCCGGTGGGAGATGCAGACTGGTGAGGGTAGGGGTGCCTGGGGTGCACGTGGGCAAGCTGGGGACATAGGGACAACACAACTGTCCCTGCTCTGCTCTTCCCAGAGGAAAGGAGGCTTTAATCCAAGCCGTTAAGCTGGGTTTGGAGAAAAAAAGGCTTCTCATCTCCATGACAATGAACCGTGGTTTCATCAGCACTTCCTCAGCCCCTGGCAGGGGTTGGTGCATGGGGAGAGCATGCCTTCTGCACTGGGAGGGGGACGTGGTCTCCTCTGCCCGTGCCGCAGGTGGCAGCGGGGACCTTGTGTCTCGCAGCAGGTCATTTTTTTTCCTAATTGTCCATCATGGCAAAAAAAAAAAAAGAAAAAAGCCACTATAGCACTGGTTTAGCCAGCTGGAAAGCCTTTAGATGCAGGTGTCAATGTGGACACTGGCCCTGGTCATCTCTGTCACTGTCCTAAGTGTCCCTGTGAGTTCAGGTGTGATGGTGGTGGTTTCAGGAGTGCTTCTGGAGCAGCAGGCTGGGCTTGGAGGTCTGTTGGTGCATTGAATTTCCCCAGCTCTCAGTCTGGGGTCTGACTGAGTCCAGAGGCTCTGGGGACAGACTGCAGGAAGGGCTTTACGCTGCCTTGCAGGGAGAGAGCTCTTATGGAGGATGAAGAAGTCCAAACAGTGTTGGGTGGCTTTTGCATTTCTTATGCCATATCTAGCTCGGGGATTTGAGCAAAGTCCAACCGGGTGTCAGTGTCAAGCAGGAGCTTTCCTGCAGAAGTCCAGAGAAGGGAAGTCAGGAAGGTGGAGGCTGGGCAGCTGGAAAAGTGCCTTATTGCCCCGTTGAATCATGCCAATGCGGTGCGTTTTGTGGACACTGAGGCTTTTGGTGCTGGTGTGATGCTGAGAGAAGCCTGGGGACAGAGCAAGGAAACGCTGCTCTGGGCTGCAAGCCAGCCACTGGCAGGAGGACCACAGGGCCGCTGGTGGGATGCCAAGCCCGTGCCCAGGTCCATGCTGGGTGCTTGCCTGCGCCGGGACTGTGCGAGGCAGCTGTTCCCGCGCCTACCGGATTGGATGCGGTTGTCTAGGGCTCTTCCCAGGCGCCGGCTGGCATTTCGACTGTTTGTTTATTGCTAATAGGGTTTGTATTGGGGAAGGATGCAAGTGGGTGGGTGGTCTAATTGGCAATGGAGATGCTCTCGTGGCGTGCCAGATACCTAGGGTAAAGTGTGACTGCTCAGCTCCCCGGAGGGCTGAGCGAGGTGAGCGGAGGCGGTGAGCTGGGCTCTGCCACCCGATGGCTCAGTCACCGTGCGTGCCGCCCTGCTTGGTCACGGCCGCGGCCACAGACCTCCCCCGCGGCTCGGTGGATGCAGTACCGCGGCGGTGGTGAAGCATCCTCTTGCCAAAGCTGCTGTCGGAGGTGTGGAGGGATGCGACGCGAGGCAGGAGAAGGTACTTCTGCACGCAAACAATGCATGACCTTGAGTGCAATAAGAAGGGCTTCGTTTCTCGCTTTGCTTGCTTAGTTTTTATTGTTTTGAACACTTCTCACAATTCTCTTGTGCTGGAAGAGAGCACTTGGCTCTGCTGCGGGAGGGAACGGGTGACCTTTCCATCGCCTGGCCTCTGAGCTGAGTGAGCAATCAGGGTCTGGCTGGCTCTCCCTGCACGCCCCGTGTCTGGGCTGAGCTGGGAAGAGAAGGTCGCTTTGGGGATGAGCTCCATGGAAACCCCTCCAAGCGAAGGAAGCCTTTCCCCAGCGTTACAGTGCTGCGTTGGGGAGGGCTGGCAGCCGTGCCTGGCTAGCTGAAATCGCAGTCGCTCTGTTAGCTCTGGGCGCAGCGCTGAGCGGCGAGTCCTGGTAGCCTGCTTGCAGAAACCTGGACCCACGTTGCTTGCAAACCGCACCACCTGCACTGGTGAATAACAAGGTCTGCTCAGGGTTGCCAGCCTTCTTCTCAAAGTTCATGTTCACGAGCAGCCGCAGAGCTGCCTCTCGGCTCTCATCTCGGCAGCGGTTTTGTTCGGGGGAAACAATCAAATGCCCAAGGCAGGTCTTGAATGCGAAGAGGCTGCAGGAGGACATTTGTATGTTTAACTTGCCACCATCAGAAGTTTGCCGGAGCCCAGATTTAGCAATCTTCTGGTTGCGATGTGCATCTCTCCCAACAGTCAGTTCCCCAACTGTTAAGCTGAGGCATGACCTCCGTGATGTAAACAGCCTGGATCCATCTGCTCCTAAGCACAAAGTATGTGGGAGAGGAAAAGAAATTATTTCCATCATACCGAGGCTCCTCGATTTTTCTCTCTAAATACGAACACGCAGACATGCACTGGAAATGCATGCAACGCTATTAAGAGGAGATGGAGTCGCTCCAGGCAGGGGCTTGGAGAGCCAGTTCTTCTGGGGCTTTGGCGTTTATTACTGTGTCTATTAACTTTCTCCCTCTATGGGTGCGATTATGGATCAATTAATTCTAAACAAAAGCAGGATGGAAAAAAAAAATAAAATTGGCCCTATTCCTCTTTGAGAGCAGGTATGAAGCCCAAGGAGATGTGACTGCTCAGCTTTTAAAGCTATACAAGCTACCAAAATAATCCTGGCAGAAGAGAGTCAGTGGGAGCGAGCGAGGATGGAGCATCAGCTGAAACGCCCTGTCTTCCGCCACGTGGCAGCCGGTGGATTTTGGGAGCTCGGGAAGATGCTGAGACTCATACCAAGCGTTGCTTGCTGCCGTCCTGCGTCCAGAGGCTGGTGTCATCCAGCACCCTGCTGCGGTGGGGCATGGTGCGCCCACAGCTCTGCACCTCTGCCTAGGGACAACCGCTGTGGTGCAAAGAGGGAATAGCACACTGCAGCCATCTCTGCTGTGGGATGGGCAGGGGGGATGGAGGGGACCTCCTCCTGCCCCGTGGCTGATGGCCCATTGCGGGCAATGCCCTGCGGTTGGTCGGCTCTGGATTGCGGGATGCAGAAGCTGCACGTGTCCCGTGCTGGAGATTTGCAAGGTCTGCTCTTCCGTCTTTGTGGAATGTAATGTTTTTTTTCATCTCACCAGTTTCTCATGTAAAACAGTTTGGATCTGTGTGTTCAGGCTGCATCTCTACAGCAGCAGAGACCTGGTCAGAGCTGTGCTGCCTGGTCCCCACTGCCTGTGGCATGCATGGTGCCGCAGCAGCAGTTAACGCCATCCCAGTAATGACCATAGCTCACCATTGGTCCTGTCCAAGCCACTGCAGAGGTCCTGTCTGCTTTGCCCCTCCTTGCAAGAAGATTGCTTACGTCTAGCTTGTCACTGGGAGCAAGAAGGTGAAAAAGTGAAGATAAAAAATAAGCCGTGCTTGAAGGAATAACATTGAGGTTCCTAGAGTTTGAGACCAGACAGGCTGTGTTTTGGCTCTTTTCTCCCCCCTTTTCCTCAGCTCCTGCAGTAAAGCCCTCCTCTATTCACTGCAGTATCTGTCGTCTTGTTGAGGTAGACCTGTAGCCCTGGTGGACTCCTTTCCCCTATCCAGCCTCGTACTTCCAGCCCCTTTCCAGGGTGACAAAACTGCTGTAATCGCCAATATTTGTGGTCTGCAGCAATAGCTGAGTGGGTGCAGAGCGGAAGGGGATTCTGCCTGACCTGGGGACCCTGGTGCCTCGGATCTGCCAAGGAGAAGACCTCTGGAAGCTTCTGGCAGAGCAAGAGGTTGAGCACGATGGCAAGAAAAATGAAATCCATCTGCCTTGTACCAAACAAGAGAGTAATTTAAATCCTCCTAATTGCTTCCACTAATCCTGGTGATGTTCAGTCTTTTCTCCCTTTAAGTCTTTTCTGCCCCCCACCCCCAGCTCTTGCACTAAGCCTTTGAAAGAAACGACTAATGTTATAATTAAAGGATCAATTTGGCAAGATTTCTTTGTCTTAAGATCTTCTTTCTTTCAGGTTGGGTTAGCTCTGCTTTCCCAGTCTCCGGAGAGTTTTCTTCAGCTCCTTCAGGAGCCTTCTGTACCATCTCTGAAATCTTTTCACTTCACTTAATTTGAATTTTTTCCCATCCAATTTTGAGGCATAACAAACGATGAATAAAATTAAGTTTTATAGCAATTAATAATAAGGGCGTTGAAGGAACAAGTGTACATTTTCAAAGGAGGCAGGGGATTTTTGCCAGCTCTACACAAAACCTGGCCCCCATGTGTTCAAGCTGGATCAGGTGGTTTGAAGCCAGAAACACTGCAAAGAGGATTAATGTCTTGGAGGGAGGTGGTTCGTGGAGGGGAAAGTGGAGAGACATGTCACCACAAGGCAGGAGGGCTTGTGGGGAGATCGTGCCTGAGAAATATTGCATCAGAAGCGTGAAAGCTTGGAAGCATCGTTGGTTTTTTTTTTCTTTAATGGTTGTAGCATCTGAGGGAGCAGCTCGGCTGAGATGGAAAATGGCTGTGCCTATTGTGAGTTTGGGGATTCGCTATTTGGAACCGCTTCTGAATGGA